CACAGTGTGTGTGTGTCTGCTACATCCTGGAGTGTGACATGATTTGTGTCACGTGCAGTGCAATTTATATGGATATTAATTTTTGTTTTTAACAATAATGAAAACAAGCAAAAATGAAAAAAAAATCTACTTCTTGCCTTTTAAAAAAATGTACGTAGTAGAAAGTACAGATAATTGTGTGAAAATGTAAGAAGTAGAAGTAAAAAGTACGCTGAAAAATCCTCCAAGTACAGATAACCTAAATTTCTACTTAAGCACAGTAACAAAGTACTTGTACTTAGTTACTTTACAACTCTGGTATTTTTAATCACATGCAATATGCTTGCATTTGTAATGTGATATTTGTAGGATAACGCTTTGTGATATAAATTGTTTTCCTCTAAGTCAATGTGTGGCTAACAACATTTTGTCTTTTTTCCATTAAAGGAGCGAGTGTTAGTCTTGTTGCATATTGTTGCCTAAATAACCTCAGTTTGAGAATTAGTTTAAGTCTCACTGGCCTGATGACACATCCAGGGAACTCAGGGTTCTGGGGCCCCACATGGCTATTTGAACCCTCTGCAGTGGCTTTGACAAAATAAAATAGCTGTTTAAATAAAGGATTAAGGGATGGCTCGTTATGGTAGATCTGTTTTTTACACAATAAAAAGGTTCATATAAAAAAATGACTATCAAAGTCAAGTTGGAAATGATGTTCTGTCCAATATGTTTATTGACTTTTTATGTTTTATGGACCATAGGTCTGCAAATAAAGTGCATCATCATCACCCAATAGTACAGTTGTCAGACATCCCACGCTTAAATTAATAACTAGGAAAAAAGTCCTGGCTGGACTAACAGCCAAATAAAGGCAAGTATATTTCATGATGGTCAAAGACTGTGAAAGACTTTATGCTACTACTTGAATGTATTTGTGGGATGGATAAACGGACAAGCAGATGGCCAAACAGAGTACAGGGGCTGATGGTGCTGAAGCCCTATATGAAGTGCAGTAATACATGTTGTCAACAGTTTTTGACTAAATCGCCTCTCAAAAAAATAGCACCACTCTTCATTGCAGCTTTAGCTATTCCATCCTAAAGTTAGTAATTCATTGAAAGCATGTTTTGTATATTTTTTTAATAAAACACTTTTAATCGCAAGTTGCATAAACAGTTTTTTTCTTCCACAAATAAAGGCAGTAAACACACAACTTAACCTTGACAAAGTTATTAATAATGAACAATATTAAAAGAGAGGATGAAGTCTGTTATTTATGAGCCTATCGTTCCAGTGGAAACGCAAACATTTGGACAGAAGCAGGATCTGCAGAGAGGAAATACTGACAGCTATAAAAAGCAGCAGCAGGAGACTGAATAAGAGCTGAACTGTGATCGGCCTCAGACAGGAAACTGTGTCTTCATCACTTCTGCCAAACGGGGATCAACCTCTGACAAAGCAGCTTGTAGGTGCTGAAACTGGACAAAAGAGAAAGCAGAGGGTGGAAATGTTTATTTTCCACACAAGTCTGTAGTCTGTGGTATCAGTCCATCAAGCTCTAACATAAATCTGTTTTAAGATAAAAACAGTGAGGCATTGTAATTCTACAAAACAATCTAAAGCTGCTGCTAGCCGTTTACTGTTTTCCTTTAACTAAAAGAATCTGTGTTTTCTTTTCTTGAGTATTTAGGGCAAAACAAGTTATTAGAAAACTACGACCATAAAGAAACGTCGAGCTTTGCGTGGTGGTGTGGCTTATTATCTAACAATCAGCAGCGATTGCTAACGTTTCCTCAGGTTAGGTAATAGATTTCAACAACTACGTTGCAACAGTGGTAGCAAATAAATCCTCAAGAAAATAACAGTGTTCAAGGAGCTTACAACCGTAGTGTTTTTACACCCGCAGCTTTACATAGTGGTATGTAATGTGATGTGTTGATCTGACCTGAGAATATCTACAATTTAAATAATGTACTTTAATTTTAAAAAGCTGACACTCTTTTTTTCCAATAAAAACTATACTATTTAAAAAATATTCACAAGTCAGAGAAAGGGAAATTAGGAAGCTCTGATCGATCTGTTTCTATGAGTATAATTAACTTTAGTTCTAACTTTATCTGCAAATAAACAGTTTTTTTCAATTTATTATGTAAAAAGTTAGTATTATGGGTGCATTTTTAAACCTTTTGAAATGTGAGTTTAAAGCAGGGCTATTCAGCTAAATTGCACGAGGCCACAATTATTCAAAGCCAGCAGCCCAGGGGCGTGACATCACGGGTGGGCGTGCCCTATAACGGGAAAACAACATGTAAATAAAACAAGTATTGTTATCTTTTACATTTTGCATAAACTTAAAATTTACAATTGATTCAAATTCTATGTTTATAACCCGGACAAAAGTCACCCTTTGGACACATCTGGAACACAGCCCACCAGTTGCAAACTTTAGTTTAATTCAGATGTGAGGAGCTATGAGGACTTAAAATCCAGACTTTTGTTCTAATGCATTCATTTTATAGAAAATGTCTTTGAACAGAAGATCAGACATAAACAGAGTCTTCATCTTTGAGTCAGTCACACTCATAGCTCTGCAGTTTGAATTTATTTATCTTTTTTCAACCAGACAAAAGTCTTTTGTCCATCTTTTAACCATCAGACACTTTTGAAGCTTCTCTTGGCCTTCATAGATGTAAACACTTTTAACACTGCCTTCAATTTGTTTGATATTTTCATCAACCTAAGTCAACATCCACTTGGTATTTAAATGACCTGAGTGTGCTTATGACTTATGATGTAAGTGATTGCACGATGTACAGTAAAAATGAAAAACGAGCTCCTCTTGTTCCTTAAAAAACAAAAAATAAGTATGTGGTGTTTCTGGAGAGAGCTCTTACCGAAGTCTTAAACTTGGGAAGTAAACAGGAAGCAGCTGTGACACAAGTCTTCTCTGTCAGGTGGCCTTTCTTTATCAAATCTGCCACTGTATCCTATAATGAATAATACACAAAATCCTGGACTTTTACTACCTGGATAAAAAAAAAAATCTCCTGAAATGGTTTGATGTATCTGAGCAGCTCTTATACCTTAGACATCTGACTGCACAGGTCAGCTAGAAACTCAGTGGTGACCTCGACAAGAGCCTGCAGCTGCTCATCTTTATTTGTGTCTTCATCTTTGTGCTCACTGTGGTACTGGCACACTTGGAAAACAGTTGAAATAAGGGACAGACCTACAGACGACGACAAAAAATAAATACATTTTAACAAAACTACCTTTTTTTTTTTTTAGAAAATGCAGTTGGCCAGGCAACATGTGACCGCTGCTTGCTGTGTGGACACCATTATATAAATCAGAAGTCCACCTCTGATCATCTTTACAGTAAAATGATTGACAGCAGCGGAGCTGACGAAGAACGTACCTGCATCACTTCTGCTGCACCACTGATCCTGACATGTGTGAAGAGCCTGCAGCACAGAAAACGTCTGAACCAACAGGCTCTTCTGCTCATGAAAGACAACCGAAAGGTCCTGCGTCTGACAGAGGTCCTCACACACCACGTCACAAACAAATTCCCACACAGACTCTCCAGGGCCATCAGGAGTGGCTAAAGGAAAAACAAAAACGTTAAAGTCATTAGAGCTCATGTTCTTCCTCTGCATGTCACAAAAACTCTTTGATTGAACTTCTTACCAAAAGCCTGAAGGCCTTCCTCTACAGTAGTGAGGAGCTGGAGGATGTGAAGGTAAACCTCTACGCCATTTGGACTCTCTGATCTATAAATTGTTAGATTCCCCATTAATTTAGTTGGAATGTGGTTTTATAAACCTGATAAATGACAGGTTATTGTTGGTAATATTCACACAAAGGCAACAAAACCTTTAAAACTGCTTTCAGATTAGGTGAACTGCACTCAACATTCAGTCCACATTCTTTTCTTTTTTTTTTTTTTTTTTTACATTTACTGTAGCTTTAAAGGGGTCCCTGATTAGTTGTAACATTAGACTTTATTTGATAAACATTTATTTTAATTGTAAAATAAAGACTGTAATAATACTGTAGGCTGTTCAGTTTTGTAAATTTTAAAAATATATTTTAACATGGACGGAGCCATTTTATTTACACACAAAAGATTCTGGGTAAATGATGACATGGATAGGTCCTCGGTGTGAGCGAGATATATCCACCCTGAAGGTTAATCTTGGGCAATATCTGATGATCGACTCTTTTAAATGAAACCAGAGAGYGTTGACAGAGAGGAGAAGGTAGAAATGACTCAGCCTGTAACTGAAAATATGGATGGAGGACAACAGAGCTGCTTCATGGAAGAAGAACCTCAGCTTAGCCTGTTAGCCTTTGCGCCAACGCTATATTGCCTTATATGTATTAGCTCAGTGCTAGCGCGACAAACAAGCTAAACTGAGGTCCTCCATCCATAGCTTTAGTTGAGTCTGAGTCATTTCTACCTTCTCCTCTCTGTCAACGCTCTCTGGTTTCATTTAAAAGAGTCGATCATCAGATATTGTCCAAGATTAACCTTCAGGGTGGATACAGCTCGCTCACACCGAGGACCTATCCACGTCATCATTTACCCAGAATGCTTTGTGTGTAAATAAAATGGCCCTGTCCGTATATATTTTTTTTAATTATAAAAACTGAACATCCTACAGTATTTTACAGTTAAAATATATGTTTATCAAATAAAGACCTAATGTTACAACTAATCATGGATCCCTTTAACAAATACCAACAACTTTAGTAATGAAAAAGATGTTTGCACTCACTATTGTCACTGAACTCTAAACTGAATTACCTTTACAATTTGTCTTTTAATTTTTTTAATGCTTTCCAGTTTTAATTTTACATTATTGTGTAAGGATAAGATTTATAAGGCTCTCATTACTACAAATCCACTGAGTGGCCTGATATGTGCTACTCTGGACTTTACTCAACTTCAACCTGAGGAAAATAATGCGAGCTGAGCTTTCATTGTAACAACAACATGAAAGATAAATTATGTGGATGAAATTGTACAGAGAGAATGCTACATTACCTATAGAAGTCATAGAAATTTTGATTCAGTAAACCCTACTGCAATGAAAAGTAAAGTTTGTACCTAATCAAACAACGCTCCTGGATGAGCCTTGATGTTTTAAATCCTGCTTTGAACACACACTTTAAACCTATACACTCTGCTGTAGATTATCTTTAAGTCTTTTTCTATTTTAATAAAGTCAACCTCAAAATTACTTTTCTAACAGCTTGAGAAACATCCTGCATCCAAATTCACACCTTGAAAAACAAACTAGAAGACCTTAGAGATACAGTAGCTGTTCCATCACTTGACCACAATATGTGCGTCTGTTTCTCTGACCTCCTCAGCAAGCACATCATCTCCAACATCCTAAACCAAGAGACCAAAACAGCTTCCCTCATTCAGTTCTCACCTTAGCTGTTTAGCTGCTTCAAGGAGGCACAAAGTCAGATCCAGCTGACTTTCACCCTCCTCCTCCTCTTTATGTAGCCGAGATGTGACCCAGCTCTTCATTAACTCTTCATCAAGGTCAAACAGTTTATCAACCAGCTCTCCCACCTTCTCCAGCAGGTCAACTGGAAAACAGTTACAAAAATTCATCATTTCACAACCCAGAAAACATTTAGCAAATGTTTCAGTTAAACAAACATGGAGTCTTTACCATCAACACAGAACAACAAATTGTCATTTAAAAATCATGATTGTTGGAAATTAGTGATAGAAAGTGAAGTACTGTTGGTTGAGCTGCACATGATGAAGCAAAGGTTGGAGCACACGGATGTCTGCTGTCGTATTCGCTGAAGCCACAGGGAACAGACGTCTTTCTGAGACAAACACATCAATAGTAACCTGAAAACATCAACAAACAAGATCAATTTTCCTCTTTCAGGCCCTGTTTTTGGATGAGCCTACAGGTATTTTGAAAATGCTACCTGCTGGTTTCCAGAAGAGTTGGAGGATCTGCATCTCCAAGAAGAAGCAACAGCACAGCTCTGTGGACACACAGGGAAGTACACTGGCTGTCATGAACATTTCAAGTCTAAAAGCTTTCCTTATTAACATCAGAGATTGTTGTATCGACTCACCCCAAGTCTTCATTTTGGCTTAGAGACATACAAGTGTCAGGAAAACAAGCAATGTTTCCAAGGATTCCTACACAGATTTCCTAATGGACGAGGACAATCATCAGCTTCACAAAGTCAAAACAACTTTCAGGATTTTGTTCTGATGATATGGAAAAGATTTCACTCACTGTGAGACGTGGACATTGGGATTTGGCTATGACGCCAAGGAGGATTTCAGCCACTTTGAATTCCTGCAGAAAACCTGCCACATCCTGCACACATTTGGAAAATAATAAGGAAACATGTCAGTCATTAATGTATCACATACAAATAAAAAAGTGCTCTTATTAAGTGAAAAAAAAAGAAAATAAAAATATGGGTGTTACTTCAGCAAGACCATTTTTTAAAAAACATCCAGAAGTGAAACTTGCACAGACTGAGAAATTAATAAGTTATTATCTATAAAAAAATCATCTAACCCAGGGGTCCCCAAACTTGTTCCTGTAAGGGCCACATACCTTTTCCCTTCTCTGGTGGGGGGCCGGAGTCAGTTTGTAACAGAAAAAGTGTGACTATTGCAGGAGTGCCTAAATGTAAACATTTATTGTTTTCCAGAAAGCACAATCAAATAACCCTCTCTGGGTTCTTCACAGTATGTATTCTGCTGAGCTAACAGTCCACCTTTTAGCTTTGAGAGTTTGTTTGCTCACATTTGGCCTTGCAAGCTATCATTGTCTTTGTGATGGGATTCATGGTGTCGCCGCAGATTGTATTCTTTGAATACCTCCACCACCTCTTGACAGATGCACAGCAAAAATGCCAGTCTTAATTTTAACACCAGCAAAGTGTCTGATATGTGTCCACACTTGCTGGTGTTAAAATAACATTCATGAAAGTGTAAAATTTTAACACCCATTTTTTGTTAATTTAACACCAGCCAGTGTTTAATATTCAACTATTCTTGGTGTCACATTAACATAAAAATAGTGTTAGTATTAAAATATAGTGTTAACAGTAACACCAGTGTTAAATATCCAACAATACTGGGTGTCATATTAACATTTCAAAAGTGTTCAAATAAATTGATAAAAGTATCACCTGATGATTGTTATTAACAAAGGAAATTAAGGTGTTTAAAAGGTTAACAGACACCACAAGGTGTCAATACACTATCAATTTGGGAGTGTAAATTTAACATTCAGAGTTAATATCAAACTCTCTGTAGTGTTGCATTGACACTACTCAGTTAGTAAAATTGAATAATGGAGTCACCCTTCACACACCAGGACATACCTCTCACTCATGGTGTCAATTTTTGGCCAATAAAATAAACTTAAAGTTGAACAAATTGATAAAACTTAACAAGAAAACTAACCAGAACAATTAATTTTTACTCTCATGAACTTCTTTAATGGTAATAAATATGCAAAAACATAATTTCTGCAAGACTTCTCAGCAAGGAATGCTGGGTAAATACTGGTCTGTCTGACATGAGGTGGAAGAGGGCGGGGCTTTTCAGAATACTTCTTTCAACACTGCATGGTGTTATATAACAACACTGTTAAGTGGGCGGAGCTTATTTAACACTGTCCAGTGTTGAGACAACACTGAGGACATCAACACTGTGAACTAACACCAGCACTGGGTGTGAGTGTACTCGGAAAGTGTTGAAATAACACTAGGGGGTGTTAAATCAACACCCAAAAGTTTAACACGGAAATGTTAGCACTCCTGTTTTTGCAGTGTGAAGAAAAAAATAATCGTTTGTCCACTGCAGCTTAAATGCCCTGCATTCTGAATCAATTTTTCTCTTACCTAATCTTTTCGCCATTATTCCGTTCTCTCGAGAGGGGCGGGTTTAGGATTTTTTTATGGGGGTTGCCAGATAGGGGCACAGACCGCAGAAGTGTGGAACAGAATGTCACGTTATATGCGTGTATGTATGAAATAGTTACTAACTAATAATAGTTAATAATGAAAATAGTTCATAACTAAGGAACATTTTATTGCAAAAGTCCAACTTTATAATCAAATATAAATACACACATATGAAAAAAAAAAACCTAAATGCTCTATGGTATTGTTCTGTGGGCCGGACCAAATGGGAAGGCGAGCCGGATTCGGCCCGCGGGCCGTTGTTTGGGGACCACTGATCTAACCATTTCAGGTTCTTTTTTAATTTAAGGTTAATGTACAAACCAAGGTGAAAAGATAAAAACAATGGTACGCTGACGAGAAATGGCACCTTATTCATGGCCATATCCCAGACTTTACAGAGATCCTCCTCATCATCCTCGGACAGCTGCATCTGACCTTCAGCCTTTTCTTCTGAATGTTCAGCCACCATCTGCAAGACAACACAAGTTCACACGTTTAGATAACTGTAGCAGTGTGTAGCAGAAAGGACTGTGAATCCTACAACAGGGAGGTTCTCTGAAATGATCCACAGATGTATTAAAATAAATCATAACTGACTAAACTTTTAGAATTAAAACGCTACTCAAAAAATATTCAGAAAATTAACAGCAAAACTCTAGTTACCATTTTAGCACATGCATACTCCAAAGTAAATCACTTGTAAAACTAAATGACCATTTTTCATCAAAACTAATTATTTCATGATAATAGAGGGTTACAAAGTGCTCAAAAGAACTGCCCGCCTACATTTATAAGCCGTGTCAGCGTGCTGAAAAGCCAGTGCTTGCTATAAACTGTGTCTCCAATGGCATCAAGACCTTCATCCTCCTCTTCATCAGCTTTGTCCGGAGGTGGTGATGGGTTACGGTCCAAAATAAGAGATTGCGGTCCAGTTTGAGGCGAGGACTTGGTTGTTTCTCCCTGCTCAGCACCATCAACACTGCTGTCTTAAACAGACATATTGAAGAAATGGGCCATACGGAAAAAATAAAATAATAAAGTCAGCATGAAAAGATTTCGTTACTGCGTTTTGTTACGAGAGCATGAACTTGGACTGCTTTTTACTGAATGAGTTAGCTAGTGGCATCGTCGATACAAGTCGCAGTTTACTATTAGCTGTCACATATAAACTATACATTTCAACTCACCCATTGCGACCCTTTTGGACAAAATTACTAGGTAGGTAAATACTTAAATTAAGTATAGTAACACGTTTTACTTCCCCCAAAACTCAATTTTCAAATGTTTTCAGGCTGTTCACCCTTCTGCGCATGCGCATGAAGTCTCGTTGCGTCGAACAACGACATGTAAAACAAACACCGCCCCCTACCGGATGTAGGAGGGAGTTGAATGCACACTACAACAAAAAAAGGACAAAATCTTTTCCTTTTGAAATGGTAATTTATAATAATAATAATAATAATAATAATAATAATAATAATAATAATAATAATAATAATAATAATATCTGGGCTTTTCAGGTCCTAAATATAAAAACTATTTTGATGCTTCAGCTGATTAATCAAAGACAAATAGAAAATGGAGAAAATAAATAATACTTTTTGTTTATTCAGTGAACAAAGATTTAAACCAATTTCATTTTTTGTAAATTATCAAACTTCTAACCCATTTTTTCTTATTTTAGTATACATTTTTCACACACTCATAAAATGATAAATGTTATTATCATCATTTAAGAAGCTAAAAACGCTAAGTTGAATCTTTCTTAAAAGTCACGACAATTAAATTATTCATCAATCAATATTTTTCTTACAGTTTTCTGTGCTGAAGCATTTTCTGTGCTGAGCCATTCGGCACACTTACTGTAACATTAAACCATACATTTGTTTTGTGAGCTGTTGCTGTTGGTGCTGTGGGAGTTCACCTGTTGATCTGTTATATTTAAGATTTTCTGTGGTTTAAAGCTATCGTTTGTAGTTTGAAGGTTGTACCTATGTAGAAGAGAGGATTAATTCTGAGCCGGGCTTTGGAAATGTTATGATAACACAACGTGCTCCTCTGTGCACAACAACCCTACAGGCAGGATAGCTTGACTTTTGACCTAAATATCTCATAACCCTTAACAAATTTTAATGAAACATGCAAAAACTAATCATTGAATGAGCATCTACAACCGACAGTAAAATGGGTACTACAGCCAATTGAACTTAAAAATGCAAAAAAGTCTGTGACTCGTTTCCTTTAAAAATATATTGACATAAACCTTGGTGTGGAAGTAGCTGAGACTAGTCCTCAACACATCTCTTGAGCACAAACAGATTGCACAAGACACCTGTTTAAAATTTTGCCAATAAACTATTTGGAATCAACTGTGTTCGTCTGTTAGCAAAATATCTCAAAAACTACCCAATTTTAATAAAACCTTTCAAATTTAATTAGTAAATGTGCCTCAACAACTAATGAGACATCTGAGCCAATTTAATTAAAGATGGCTGCTACAGCCAACTGAACTTGGAAGACATGAAAATGTCTAAAATTCTGTTGATTTTACAGATATTAGGCTAAAGTTTTGTGTGGTTGTAGCTGGGAGTTATTCACAACATAACTGGAAGTGTGACTTACTGTGCAAGATATTTGATTAAAACGTTAGCATCACCTGTCACAATCAACCTTGTTTATCTGTTAGCAAAATATCTTGTGAGTCACTCAGAGGAGTTCAATGAAACTTTCCAAAAGTAGTGATTGAATATTCATCTACAACTGATTAACTTTAGGAGTTAATCCAATTCAAAATGGCCACCACAAATAATCAGCTTCAGAAAATAGAAAAATGGCTTTAAATCAATAATTTTTGCAGATTTTAAATTAAAACCTAGCATGGTAGTAGCTGAGAGTTGTTCCCATACATACTCAGACAACAGGGCATGAACTTGCTCATTTATTTTAATGTTTCTGTTAATTCTCACTATAAACTGGTTTTAGTCTTAAACTCTGGCATGAAGGGGAATGTTTATTATTGCTGCAAATTTCACTTGCAGTTTTATAAAAGTTGGCTTGGAATCACAACAACTGATAATCTTGTTGAAATCATTGATAAACTCTTTTGAGCTTTCAATTTAAGTTCCACTCTTTTCTGCATGATATCAGATGAGTTGCTTTCCTGACAGCGAGATGTTCTGCTTGGCTTGTCCTGTCGTCTCGGTAGAACAGCTCTGTTGAATTTTGACGCACGCAGTTTTACGAGAAAAAATGACAAGTGTTTGATGAAGTGGCTTTGCCAACACTTGCTCCACACATTTAAAAGTCCTTCCTATTATCCACGCTGTCTTATGATCATTTCGCAAATGTACCATCCTCCTTCAATCAACAGAACAGTAATAACTTCGAATCTTTCTCATCATCCAGCTGTCAGTCTGTGGGAGTGGTCCAAGGCCATGTTTGCACTTGGAGGAGCTTAAACTAGACAGTTGTGTAAGAGCGTGCCAAGCAGCTTTTGTATTTGTTTTGAAAATATAATCAGAAATAGTACTAATAATTAATAGGCTTTTAACAAATGGAAAATGAGGACACATCAATAAGAAACACTCCACAAGCTCCAGTAGTTATTCAGAATCTTAGATTATTTGTGGAGTACTGACAGAACAACAGGCAACAGACGGATTCTGTGAGAACAGAACAAAAACATGCAGCTTCTTCAAACAGTTCTCCCACCCATTGCTGGGCATTGTTCTCATCGCTACATAAAGGATGCCAAATCTCTTTCGTTGACTGCAGGAGAACGATGGCGATCAAGGATGTAGCGTCATTGTTTTATAGTCAAATCCTGGGCAAAATCGTAACAATCATGCAATTAAGATAGTGCGATCTCAAAACAAATATGTCCTTTTATTTGGAGGTATAATTTATTACATTCATTTGGTTTTTGCTGTTAGTTGATTCTTGGTTTGTGGTTTTATCGTTGCTCATGTCTGTGTTCATTTAGCAAAATATCTCAAAAACCAGTGGACGTATTTCAATAAAATTCTCAGAAAATACCCCTTTGAAGAGACTACAGCAAATCAAACTTAGGAAACATACAAATCTAACTCAGTTTATAGATATTGAGCCAAAATTTGGTGCTTACTGATTCTGCACTATTACAAGAAAAATCACCAGGAACTATTGAAGTCAACTCTGTCTATCAAATATGTTGATTGATTTTAATGAAGATGTAATCTATAGTCTTCCACTCAGGCCTGACTGTTGGAGTGCTGCAGAAATAGTTGTTCTTCTGGAAAGTTCTCTTCTCTCCACAGACCACAATGGAGCTCCATCAGAGTCACCATTGGGGTAAGTTCAGCCTGGCACCCAGCTCTGCAAAGAGTGTTTTCAAAGTTCCATCACTGATGGATGGTTTAGACCTCAGCGCTTATTGGGATCTTCAGGGCTGCAAACATTTTCTTGACTCTTCCCCCAGATCTGTGCCTCGATACAATCCTGTCTTGGAGGTCTATGGAGATGTATTTGGACTTGATTTGTGCTTTGACATGCACCGTCAACTAGGACCTTCATATAGATGTGTGTCTTTCCAAGTCGTGTCCAATAAACTGAGTTTACCAGGCGGACTCCAACCAAGTTGTAGAAACATCTGGAGGATGATTAGTGGAAACAGGATGCACCTGAGCTCAGTTTTAAGGTGTCATAGAAAGGGCTGTAAATATTTATGAAGATATAATTTATTTATTTTTTATTTATATTTGCAGAAGCACTAAGTAGCTTGGTGGTCAGTGCTGTGGTCTCGTTATCTGGAGGCTGCAGGTTTGAGGGTTTAACCTTTAATCCTAAAAGAGAAATTATTCCTGTAGAAGTGAGGTACTTGTGGTCAAAAAGACAGTTTTATTGCAGCCCAAATAAAATTTGTCACCAAAAGCACAATTATATTTGTTTTATCAAGAGATAAGACGGATGTAAGAATAATTTATATGGGACTTGGGAAAGGCGTCGGACACTCACACTGTAAATGTTTGCAGTGTCTTTGGCAGTAAAACTTCATATCCCAATTGGGGAAAGGGTGGGCACAGAAAAAAAGAAGGTGCAATCTGAATATAAAAGGCACGCCAACTTTAGTTTGGCTATTTCCAGCTGTGACTAAGCCTTGCAGTGGCAACGATGAGCTGGAGATCTGTGTGGTTGGGTTTCCTGCTTTTATCGGTCGCCAGCGTCACCGATGTCAGGGCCAGACTGGGTAAGGATCAGATTTTAGACAAGAAGATATTATTAAAAAAAATCTTTGTAATGAATAGAATACACAGGAATAAATATGTTCATGTAAATCTCTTCCAGTTCGCAACCATGTCAGCAGCATCTGCAGCACGTGGGGCAGAGAGCACTTCAAGACCTTTGATGGAGACATGTTCCAGTTTCCTGGTTTGTGTGAGTACAACCTGGTCTCCGACTGCAATGAGATCTATCAAGAGTTTTCAGTTCACATGAAGAGAACGGAGGAGGATGGGAACCCTACCATCAGTTATGTGGGCGTCACCATCAATGAGCTGTTCTTTCACCTCAGCAAGAGTCAGATCACTGTCAACAGCCAGCAGTGAGTAAAAATAAGAACCTATGAAAGGATATTTGAGTTTTACAATTAAAAAACACACTTTTTTTATTCTTTCGCTAGAGTGACACTGCCATATCACAAAGGAGGAGTCCAGCTGGACAATAATGGAGTTTATATCAAGCTCCAGTCTAAAGTTGGATTTACTGTCATGTGGAATGGAGAAGATGCAGTCATGGTAAAAACATGAAAGACTTGAAAAATATTAACTCACTCGTTTTGACAGACATCATTTAAGCTCCTTTATAATGATTAATAAACATTTTTATTTCACTGTACTTCATTAGGACACTATAACTTTATTGTACATTCTATGAGGCAATTTTAATAGTTTTGTGTTTGCACATATTATTTCCAATACATTATTTTCAAGACCCCTTTGTGTTTTTTTAGGTGGAAGTTGATAGTGACTTCTCAAACCGTACCTGTGGTCTCTGTGGAGACTTCAATGGAATTCCGGTCTACAATGAGTTCATTCACAACGGTATGAACATGGCTCTTAATGTTGTGTTGATGAATACAATCAGGAATCTGAGATGTGACTCGGTGAATGTATGGTACACGCAGGTCGTAAAATCAGTCCGATCGAGTTTGGCAACAAACACAAAGCCCACCGCCCAAACGATGACTGCGAGGACCCCTATGAGGAGGAAGAGGAGGATGGGACGGTGTCCGGTTCCTGCAAAGAATTTGTGAGTTTATGATGCAGTCGGGGTTTAAAAGGCGTTCTGGGGAAATCGTAAATTTCCTTCTGTTTGCATCTTATGTGGTTCCTTACAGGAGGGTATTTGTGAAGACATGTTCCACTCAAAGACCTGGAGCTCCTGCACCAAACTGATCAACCCTAAAGCGTACATCCAGGCCTGTGTGAAGGACATGTGTACCTGCAGCAACGGCACCAAGGATCACTGTGTCTGCAGCACACTGTCTGAGTTCTCCCGCCAGTGTTCCCACGCAGGAGGACAACCTCCCAACTGGAGAACACCTCAATTCTGTGGTAGGGATTTCTTCACCTTTATTCACATTTTTTTAATCCCCAATGGTAATATTTTAAATAAAAATAGTTTTGTTTCTCTTTTTGTCACTGTACTCAATGCAGTCTTTTCTCGACAGTAGTCGACTTTAGTTCTGTATCATCTTCTATTTTAAAAGACAAATAATTCGATTTTTTTGTGAGGATTTGCTGGATTGTGATCAAATGTAACTAAGAAATAATAAATGAAATATTCAAAAAGAAAAAATAAGTAGGTCCTCTGGATGGGTTCTTCTTTAGTGAAGAAAAAAAAGAAGAACCCATCCAGAGGACCTACTTATTTTTTCTTTTTGATTTTTTCTACCTGGATTACTGAGATGCATCAGGACAATAAACGAAATAGTTGTGAGTAGAGTGTGAGGTCTAAGAAAAAATGTGAATGATCTGTATTTCTAACTGTAATCTTTATTTCTTCATTTGTTGGGGTCTGTATATTCTAAACTCTACAAGAAATATGTGGAAAAAAGAATTTGTATTTCTAAAAGAATCGTTAGATGACATTTAAAATCAATGTTTTTTCAATTAACATTGACAGAGATTTAACCTCGACTTGGACCAAATTTTATATTTTATCCACCTTGTGTAACTGAGTTTGACCTGCTCTAGGATAAATTGCTAATGTGGACAAGCACAACTGATATTATTTAAGTGAAAACAGCAAAAAATAACCACTTTAGCTTTTATTGAGTATTAAATTAAACTTTTTGGTGTAACTCTCATGCATCAGAAGCTGCTCATAACACACATTGACTACCATCTTCTTTTGTTTATTTCTTTTTTTTACAGCTAAACAGTGTCCGTACAACATGGTGTTTGAAGAAAGCGGTTCTCCTTGCATGGATACTTGCACACACCAGGATGCAAGTTCACTGTGTGAGGAACATAAAATAGACGGCTGCTTCTGTCCTCCTGGTGAGTTTTCTTCTCGTACGAAATGCCCATTATCTTAAGCTTTCTTCCTCCACCAGCAGCACTGACACATAAGTATGTTTCTCAGGAACTGTGTTTGATGATATTTCCATGAGGGGGTGTATTCCTAAGACTCAATGCCAGTGCAAGCATGACAAAATCTACAACACTAAAGAGGTTTACAGACAGGATCGAGAGGAATGGTGAGTCTAAGTTTACATGGAAAGAATCTATTGTTTGTAGCAGTTTATTACATTCAAGCGGTCTTTGTTTCAGTACATGTGTTGAGGGAATTTGGGACTGTGTGAGTCTTGAAACACCTGCTACGTGTTCAGTTGAAGAAGGTTCACATTTCACTTCCTTTGATGGCAAAATCTACACCTTCCACGGAGATTGTTATTACACCCTGGCCAAGGTGGACAGCAAGGTAAATGTAAAACTTAATGGTAGGAAATACCATACAGTCATTTATTGTTTAGGAAAAATATGTAATAATTTTGTGCTTTCATTATATACACGTTTTAGGATGGAAAAAGTCCAAAGTTTACGATCCTGGCCCAGTTGGTGCCATGTGCACACCAACAGTTTGACACTTGTTTGAAGGCTCTCAAAATTCTGCTGAACAACGATAAAAACAACGTGAGTTTCAATTAGTCATTTTTAAAAACTCGCAACATTTGCAACACGTTGCTGACTAATTCTGTTTATTCAGGTTTTAACATTCAGTCCTGATGGCTCAGTTAGGCAGAACAGGCAGACTGTCAGTTTGCCCTACTACTCAGGTAAAAAAGATATTCTACAATATGTTGTGTTAATCACGCCCAAACATTATCGTTCTGATTGTGTTTGTATCTTCATTTAAAGGTGACATCAGCATATTCCGTGCATCATCCTTTCACATCTTGCTCCAGACGAACTTTGGGTTACAAATTCAGATCCAACATGTTCCTCTGATGCAGGCCTACATCAGCCTGGAACAGAGCTACAGAACAAAGACACGGGGTAGGTTTTAGAGTTGACGTTTATGAACGAAAAGCAAGTTTTATCAGTAAACATTTACTAAACCCAAAAACTAGTTTAAATTATTTGCACATAATACAGTACTGACTTGTAAGCTTTAACTTCAAACACACAAAAAATTACTAAGACATTTTCTTTGATGTTTACTGAAAATACGGTTAACATTTCTAAGCACCAATATTTTCATTTCAGTTTTTATTAAACACATAAATCTTTCTTCTCTTCAGGTTTATGTGGGAACTTTAACATGGTCCTGAACGATGACATGAAGACCCCTCAGGGCATCGTGGAGGGAACCGCAGCCACTTTCTGTAACTCTTGGAAGGCTAACCTCATGTGTGCTGACACAGAGGAAAGACTTGATGACCCCTGTTCCCTCAGCGTAGAAAGTGGTAACAATGCTGTTTGAATTTTTTATTATATCCTGAAGGTGTATTTCTGAAGCTAAGGGGACATTTTTTGCTCTTTCTCAGAGTTGTATGCTAAACACTGGTGCGCCTTGCTCCTAAAACCAAACAGCACATTCTCACAGTGCCGCTCTGTGGTGGATCCTGAGATCTTCTACAAGGTACAGTAAAACTTTTCTTTCCAGCTTTTACTGCATTTGATTGGTACTGTACTGTACTTTTTTTCTGTTTTCTACAGCGCTGCCTTTATTCCAGCTGTAACTGTGAGAAGAGCGAGGCCTGTCTGTGTAGCGTCTTCTCCTCATACGCTCGAGCCTGTGCAGGAAAGGGAGTGATCCTGACAGACTGGAGAGAGAACGTGTGTGGTAAGGGTTTTATTTTTATGGTGTAGCTCCGATGAATCACAGTTCCCTGAGTTGGATCACTATTGTTTGTATGTCATAAAACTACTAATGATTCATCTTGTTGTGGTCTTGATAGAAAAACACACAAAGAGCTGCCCGGAGTCTCAGATCTTCTCCTACAATCATCAGAGATGTCAGCTGACTTGCAGTTCACTTGCCTCGGAGCAGCAGACCTGCTCCTCTGACTTTGTCCCCGTGGAGGGCTGCTCCTGCGCTGAGGGGCTCTATTTGAATGAAAAAGGTGTTTGTGTCTCCATGGCAAAATGTTCTTGTTACCATAATGGAGCCTACATTAAGCCAGGAAAGTCCATCAACATCAAAGATGAACACTGGTGAGTCAGTTCAAGACATCCTCTGTGATATACAGTATATATACGTTTGCCATTAAATTTCATACTGTATGTCTTTATTCTATTTTCAAGTGTGTGCAACAATGGAAAGCTTCATTGTCATTCTTGGAGAACCCGATCATCAGGTCAGTTTGCTATATCTTCACTTTTTAGTCACACACTAACTATTAGGTTGTGGTTAGTGGTTGAGAAAATGTGACAGTAATAATCAGCAGGACAGTCAAAAGCTCACAACAACACTGGTACTGAGAATTCAACAGAGCATATCCTTCTGTCAAACACTCTTCAACAACCGTACAGTGCCCGGTTGAACAGCTGCTATCTCATCATACATGAAGCTAACAGAGTCCAAACAACCTGTAACCTGCAACTTGTGAGTTGGGGAGAAAAATCTAAAGTCCATTTCACAGTCTACATGTTCCACAAGCATGTTCCTCCCTCTGTCTACAGAGGGCAGTGGTGCATTCCTGTCACATCACATATCAATAACTTCAGTTGTCTTACAGACCAGGGGTTCCCAAACATTCTGGGTCTGAGGACCCTTTACAAGTGTGAAAAAATTCCAGGGACCCCCTCATAAACCCCATGCTCTTTTAAAAGATGATTTACTGTCATTTCAACCCCTAAATGCCATGGGAATATATTTAGTTTATTATGTTTGTTTTATTAGTTCATTGTTCCCCATGCATTTTGAAAAAGTAAATTAAATCAACAATTTTGTGAAATTTTTTGAGGACCACTAAGATACCTCTTGCAGACTCCCAGGACCCCCAGGAGTCCACTAAGATACCTCTTGCGGACTCCTGGGGGTCCTGGGACCCCATTTTTTAGGAACCTCTGTTATTACAACTGTTACGACACACATTTGGTTACTCTCATTGACATATTTCTTTTGTTACAGGGTGTTCTTCTCCAAAAGTCTTCTTCAACTGCTCCTCCGTCGGGTCAGGGGATCTTGGACTCCAGTGCGCTCGAACTTGTTTAAATCTGGAAAGTGATTGCGTGAGTTGTTTTTGCTGATTTGGTTTTTCAAAGTGTCACAGAAAACCAGCTGATTGTTTGGTTTCAAGAGAATTTCTCATAATAACAACATAATAATTGTCAGTTTTGGTCTGTCAACGGTAATATTTGTCCTCCTCAGGAATCCACAGAGTGTGAACCCGGCTGTCGCTGTCCTGGTGGGCTCCTTGATGATGGTAATGGTTTCTGTGTGGAGGAAAAAGACTGCCCGTGTCAGCATGATGGACAATATTTTGCTCCTGGAGCAAAAATTCCAAATCAGTGCAACAGCTGGTAAGGCCGTGTACTATATAAAGTATAAAATTATTGTGTACAACGCAAACCTTCAAGACATGAGTTGTCAACATTTGGCATATTAAGCTCATGTACTCGGCACAAATTTATATTTTACTGTTTCTTACAAATGTAGCACCTGCAAGAGTGGGAAATGGGAGTGCACCGAGGAGAAATGTCCAGGAACCTGCGTTATTTATGGAACCGGACACTACAACACGTTTGATCAGCGAACATATGGGTTCCAAGGAGACTGTGCGTATGTTGCTGCCAGGGTAAATAACTCTTCTATTTTTTACTCAAAAACTCCTCTTTTTCCCAAAACTGATATATAATGGATAAGGAAAGTATTACATGAAGCACATTCAGTGGATTAACTTTAAATGATAGTTAATATCTTTCAAAGGAGGAATTCACATTAAAACAACTCCAGTTTCAAAAATTTTCTTGCTGTAAATATGAGGTCTGTTTCATGAATCTTTACATTACTGTCAATTTTACGTTATGTGATTATTTTCAAAAAAATCCAATGGCTATTTGCAAGTGCAAGTGCAATTAAAAATGACAGCGATGTAAACTTTTATAAAATTGCATCTGTTTGAACGGCTATGAAATAATTCAAAAATTCACTTTGGTGTTGGACCTGCTAAAACTAGCTACCTTTAGCTTATCGTCAAATTATCCTTTTAAAGGGGACTTATCGTGCAAAATCTACTTTTTTAGCCCTTAAATGCATTTTGTTGCTGAGTAAATATCTTTATATTCTATTTGAGTCATATCTTTCATTCTATTCAGTTTTCTTTACTCCCTATTATGTATTCTGAACAATGATGTCACAACATTTACTGCAGAACTGCTTAACAAGGTGCTAACCTTGAGCTAGAGCTAATATAATATAACCAATTTTACGAATCCGCAGTCTTCATTCTTCTCTTGCTCTGGGTTAGATTCTGGCTCCAACATGTAAGGCTGGAGGGACAAGTCTTCCTTGTTGTCATCTTTTTATTAACTTGTAAATAAAAATTTTCTGCACCGCTAGAATGGTCCGTGTACATTCAGGCAGTTTGTTTTTAAGGCCACTTCAAACTGAGACACACCTGAGAAAAGGGGTGAAAAGAGGGGCTTATGGAGTTACAAAAACCAGGAATTCAGGCCAAAGCATTGCAGTTCCTTTTTTTGTAGACCCCAACTGATTGATTTAAAAGTAAAAAGGAAGGATTTAAAAGCACAATATACCTATTATTAGACAGACATTTATTAGACAGTTTTACAAATCTGAAACATCGAGGTTAAAAAGCAATAGCTGAAGTGGTTAAAATATGAACAATTCAAAGATGTTTTTACGTTAGGCTACTTCTTCTGCATCCATCAATTGATCTGACATGTTTTAAAACAATCAGCCATAATTTTTTAACAAATGACTTTCTTTCTAGAATAAATGTGGAAACAAAACAGTTGTGAACAACTTTGGAATTATCACAGAAAATGTACCATGTGGCTCTACCGGCACCACATGCTCCAAAACAGTCAGAATTCAACTTGGGGTAAGTCCAGACATGAAAATCTGATAAGTTTTCACAGCCTAAAATGTTGGATTAAAAAAGTTATATATATAT